ATTATGGAATCAAAAGTCGTCGAACTCAAAAATCTTATAAATACAACCTGAATACGATAAAAATTTTTTGGGGGCATGCTCAGAGCTATCACGCGCGCGCAGCTCATATTGCGATAATATAAATTTTTTTTACGAAAATCCCTTCCGCTTTAGTCTAAAAGGAAATGTGGCAAGATGAATAACGCAAATCATGGAAGTGATCTGCTGCATGCCGACAAGAAATTTGAGAGGGTTAAATAAAAACGGGTTCAAATTATTATAATACAAGTTTATTTATATATATATATTATAATACAAGATGACGCGATATTCTTGATTTCTCGCGAAAAATTGATTCAATAGTAGCAGGCGAAAAACATTTCCAATTTCCTCAACATTGGAATCTTTATCATTTCTTTATTCACCTTATTATCGCAAAGATTATTTATTCCTCCCAGTTAAATTACCATTATACAATGCAGAATGCTAAACTAAATGAGATTTTTAAAATTAAAAAAAAAAAAAGGAATGATAAATGTTAAAGAACGTGAATTTTCGTAACGAACCACCAGTTTATCCACCATACGAGCAAATTGTAGAACCCTATAATGATAATCGTAATGATAATCGTAATAAAATGATGGTGATGATAACCCTTTTATTTCATGATGCAGATCTCAACAAATCAATCAAAGATTTTTTCACAAGCGGTAAAGAGAGTTTTTTTTTTTCTACATAAATGATGTAAAGGGGAAAAAAAAATAATTACAAAGAAAATAGGGATGATTATAGGTTCTATAATCATTGGAATACTTTTTACAAAAGGTTTTTTTTTCAATTCAGAGAACGACCATGCGCGTCACGTTGGGGTGTGCGATATACTATGTAAATCAGAACTATGTAATTATATAATGAAATTTATTAACGAAAATTTTTAGCAAAGTAATAATTTTATAATAATTCTTGCAAATTTAAATAGATGCACAGCCATAACGGCTCGATAGTTTTGGATAAAATTTTGCAAAGACCAGCACTACATCTCTTCAAACAAAAAGCTCAAATGGTCAATGTCTCAAAGATTTTTTAAGTCATTACTGGTGGTGAACCACTATAGAAACAATATTGTTTAACAAGTTCACAATAAGAGCTTGATCCAACTGCCGGTCTTGCTGAAGGTATAACGATTGGATTTGAAGCAGTGTTCAACTTGTCGAAACCAAGTCCAATTCCATTAGGTGAGTTTTTTTCCCATGATGCCTTATCTGTTGATTCTTTTGTTACTGGCATACCATCAATATAATTACCAGGGAAAAATGCTGAAAAGCTCTCATTGCAATAATAAGGTTGTTGTTGATAAGTACGATTAGTGTTGATAGGATTAGGTCTAATAGTACTAACACATTGAGCTGCTATCAATGAGAGGCCAATGTCATAACGGCCATCCATAGATTTTTTTATGGTCAATGAAGTTGATGATGAATTCATGATAGGCGGGGAACGAATAGGTGGTGATTCTTCAAAATTCCTTGCACGGTTAGTCGGAATTGACCATTTAAAGGAAGTTG